TAATGCCGCCTTCAGAGGTGAAGGGACAACCCTCCCTCTCAGGGAAGAATTAATCACCACTAGAATCCTGTTACATGTCATCTCCTAGGAGGCTTTCGCCAGCCAGCAGGGTCATGGATCTAATAGACAGGTGACCAAGCTCACAGTCATGAGGACCCTGTCCACTTCCTCAGGCCCAGCAGGTTCAAACTCATTCTAGGTAACAAAGCAAGACCATGTACTGGGCACCTCAAAAGGACATGTACTAAGGGTGGTGTCCAACTGAGAGTGAATCCGAGCGACTTTATCCACCAAAATGCTGTGCATATTCCTCCGCAGGGCCCTGTAAGTAAAACTCCAAGTCCCGTTACCAGGAGGGCTCAGATCACCTTAAACAGGGTCACTGGATGGCTATCTGTGGATGCAATGAATGCAGAGAAGTACTGATGCTTCATTGTGTTTACCATCACAAAGTAGGCCTTACTAGTGTCTCACTTGTGTTTGGTTGAGTTTGCTCTTTGTCCACCTCCTGTAGCACTCTAGGCATCTTTTCACCTGCTTCATCTCCCTCTGGACTCTGTGAGGTTGTTTTTCCAAAAATATTTTGCACTCCTGGCCAAGAAGACTCTCCAGTAAAAGAACACAATTCCAGCCATCCACCAACCCACTATTAGACTGGGTTGTATCCAAAGTATTCCCTTTGCTTCAGACTCAGCAGTGAATATCCCCTTTCCAGATGTATTGAGCAGGGTTCTCAAGGCAGAATGGGCCTTTCCAGATGCAAAGAAAGTGCTTACTACTACAGTTGTATACTATCTCCCAAACCAAGCCACCCTCAAGATTTTAAAGTTTCTGCTAGTAGATACCCTGATGATCCCCTTGGTTTCAAGGACAATGGTTTCAGAAGATGGAAATGATATACTCAAACATCCTGGTGATAGACCTAATTACATTTTTTTAAAACGGCTCACAATGATAATCTAGTCAAGGTAATAGGGTCACATGTGGAGTTCAGTGTTCCAAGTAATTTTTGAAATTGATTTCTAGAGAACTAGTGGCAGTTTGTCAAATGTTAACAAACTACAGTAACTAGGACTGCAAAC